AATTTGTACATTACAGCAGCTCAAAACAGGACAGGGTGAGATAGAATAAAGAAAAGATAAGTAAAAGAAAAAAAAAAACCACTATACTCGTGACAAACAGTATAACAATGTACAAATACCTAGTACAGTACATAAATGAATGTATTGTACAGTGAACTATTTGTGACCCTTCACATCGAAACAAGGATTACGTCTAAAAGTTGTATGTGGAGAAATAGGCAGATAGTGTTTTGATTAAAACGCTTGCAAAAATTACATTTTGTCTAAATATAACTAAAAAAATATGTTATCAATGTATCATTTCAATTAACTGGTTGAAATATTATCCTAAAAGTTTTTTGAAGCCTTTTTTTTGAGCAGTAGCAACCAAAAATCCGATTTTGAGGAAAAAACGCCTTAAAATGTTGAGATTTTCCCTGTGAGCTATCAACGCTTTTGTTTCTTTCCAGCTGGGAAATCTCAATATTCAAATCCTATTTGAGGTTTCTTTTTAAAAGGATGTAAAAAAAAACTCATTAAAATTACATAAAATTAGGATTTAGACCAAATGTTTATGTATTATTGTAACCACCAAGACAAATTAAATAATATCTCTGGATCTACTAATGATATCAGGATGATCTAAGTGTAAAATGTAGCTTTTAAAGCCAGGAATCTGAAAATAGGATTAGGTCATTTTGACCAAATTTGACTTAATGCTCATTTCGATGTGATGGGTCACATTTGTATTTAGGTGGCTGCCATGATTAGAATACATACAAAATAAAAAAAACATTATGAACAAGTCTGAAAAGTTAGAGTTAAATTGGCTCATTTTTCTTCTTCCAACATGTTGTTGGAATCTGTGATCCTCAGGAGAAGGAGGGAATCCAGTGGGAGGCCAAAGACGAAGAGGAGGAGGAGGAGGAAGCTGCAGGAGAAGAGGAGGATGACCACATGGAGTTTTGCAGAGTGTGCAAAGATGGAGGAGAGCTTCTGTGCTGTGACACCTGCCCATCGTCCTACCACATCCACTGCCTCAACCCGCCTCTGCCTGAAATCCCAAACGGGGAGTGGTTGTGTCCTCGCTGCATGGTGAGCTCATCTTTAAAGCCTTTATTTCACTAAAAATAATCTCAATTTTTGTAAAAAAAATATTTTTTTTCTTATATTTTGCTAAGTATTTTTGCATAATTTAGTTTGTTGGAGTTTATTAAGTCTTCTATTTCATTTTTATTTCTAATAAAATTGTCCGTATTAGCTTTGAAAAGTTATAGATGAATAAATTTTTCTCTCAGTGTCCTCCTCTTAAAGGGAAAGTTCAGAGGATCCTGCACTGGAGGTGGGGAGAGCCCCCGCTGCCAGCTGAGCCCCCTGCAGGCCCTGATGGCAAACCCACCGATCCGCTAACCAAGCCCCCGCTCAAAGGCCGCCCAGAGAGGGAGTTCTTTGTGAAGTGGGCCGGCCTTTCGTACTGGCACTGCTCCTGGGCCAGTGAACTGCAGGTGACAAGTTGTGCCAGTGTTAAATAGACATTTGGCAACAATGCTTATGTGTCTGCTTTGATAAATGGGACACACAGGCCTTTTTATTCACTTTTCTTTTASTGCTTTAGGTTTTTAAAATGCTAAATCTAAATGTTTACATATAAATGTAAAAGTTCAACTTTAAATGTTGAAGTTAACCAAGATGACAATTTGAATTTAGATTTTAATTATCTTCATCAGCGGCTAGCGGTGGCTAGCGGTGGCCATTGTTGATGTTTGTCCCAAGATGATGACATCATCCTGGTTATCTGACGCTAACCTCCGCTAACGCTTCTAACACCGCTAAAGATATTTAAAATCTAAATTCAAAATGTGTTTGTAAAAAACARTATACCTGTGGTCCAGCAGTTTGATGACTTGCAGGGAAGCTTTAGCTGCRTTGGAGAGCTAGCGGTTGCTATTGTCTCAGGATGATGACATCATAACATGAGCCAAGCACTGACAGCAAAGGCTGTGTTCTGTTCCAAAATAATGTGAACTTCAACATTTAAGGTTTAACTTTTATATTTACATTTAAACATTTAAATTTAGGATTTAATATTTAAATATAATTTTAACATTTAAATTTAG